AGAAAAGACGCAGCTCCAGTATGTGGTGATTGTCCTGTCTACAGATTTGTTAAGTGTGTGCAATCAGCACCCTTTCTTTGTTCATTTAGATGCAAAGTTATAGTTTGTATGGTCAGCAGTACTCTTTCAATGTTTAAAGACAGACCTTAGTCAAAATGATTTTTTTAAGTTACTTAGTTTAAAGTACGTTAATATCTCTACAATATTGAAAGACCTGCTGTAAATGCTGCTCTCTGTGTGTAAACACATGAACACTGTAAGCAAACTTTTGCCGACCGTCATGTTGAATTTTCGTCGCATTTTGTGACATAATAGTCTACACACACAGCTTTTTGACCTACTGAGTCCATCTGAGTTACAGATAAATGCAGAGGCTTTTTTCTCTTATACGATGTGCGGTATCAAACATTTCACCGTCATTAAACACTGTCTTTCTCCTCTGAGTGTGTGTTAGTTTTTACTCGGTTCGCAGCACGTGCCCAAATGGCAACTCCCATTTTTATCCAAACCCTGCCCATTTTCCTTCCCCCAACACTCCCACCCAAACAGACACTCTCACTTTCCTGACTTTTTCTAAACTGGGTGTGAAAACATCCTGCTGAAACGGGGGGTTTCATGGCCCTTTAACTGATTACCAAAAACAGAATTTTTTAAAATGGTAACTAATTTTATCTGAGTGAAGGATACAGGTTCAGAGGATTGGTGTTCAGTTGAAGGATTTTTTAAAGGAAATAATGTGGTTGAGAGTGACGTCGCGACTCATAACATAAATATACATATGTATTTATGTATATACATAAATATATTATGTATATATAACTCATATACATAAATATAAATATATTTTGTATAAATATTTTGGTTATATCTAAACAACGAAACTAGGTTTGTTTTAATGGCACAAACCAGCAAAAATCGAGCACAAATAAATGAAATCAGTTTTGATGCAATTTAGAGGAAATAGGGTGGAGAATGGCGTCACGGCTTCTAAAACATTTTACTTATATCTAAACAAGGAAAACAGATACATTGTTTGTTTTAACGGCCCAAATTGTGCACAAACGGCCTGTGCTGATTTGAAGTAATCAGAGCAACATGTGGTGGAATGTGACGTCACAGTCAAAAAAAATAATGCTTAATATATCAGACCCCAAACCAGCACAATCGTTCGTTTTGCGGCACAAATCAGCACAAACCTAGCACAAATGAAAGGCATACTTTTGGGGAATATTTGTTTTTATGAGGTGCCAACTTTACAGAGGTCTTTTGGACGCCATATCTATCATTTTGTTTTGACAAATGTAGTACAAAAAGTACAAAAGCAAGGCATGTCAATGTGCTGTAATTGTTTAGTGAGGAAAATCAAAAATAGAGAAGAAATTTGGGGTGGGATGAGATGTACTTCTTTGTGACTTAACATGCTAAATGAAATTTTACTTTTACTAGTACTAATTCATACTATTTCAGTTGTCTTCAGAACCGTGAAATGTGTTTGTTTAAAGCATGTTGATAAGGAAAAATAGGTAACACTTTACAAAAAGGTTCATTAGTTAAGGCATTTCACAAACACATACAACACATGTACTGCAACACATGTAAGTCCATGCTTGTTGACATTAGTTAATGCATCGTGAGTTAACATGAACTAACAATGAACAACTGTATTTTCATTAACTAATGTTAACTAACATGAACAAATACTGTAGTAAATGTATTTTTTATTGTTTGTTCATGCTAGTAAATGCATTAATTAACATTAACTAATGAACCTTATTGTATAGTGTGACCGAAAAATATCTTTAATGTATTAATGGAGATATTTTGGCACTGTCACTTACCTGTTATAAAATGAAGTTGGGTTATGGGGAGCATGGGCACAAAACTTGAACCAGTTGAACCAAAATATCCCCTTGTATATAACCTAAAATCAAACTTTTAGAAAAAATCTTCACATACCGCTAATATCCAGCGACGGTCAGACACTTACTGCTGCTTCTCTTCGTCATCCAACGCTTTTAGAACACATTCTTTTTTTAGAATGCCACACATATGGTAACCACAGCAACGCCACGGCGCCGACGACATATTTAAAAGCTCCAGTGCGAGATTTGCGTGAAGCACTGTAGAATATCACAATAATTCTGTGAAGGATTTGGGTTCCTGTACCGCTATCTTTTGAGTATATAAATAAAAGCAACTTTGATTCTCAATTTGGCTGACTTTTGTATGTTAATATTCCATTTTTCGAGCATTTATATGTCTTATTTTTCAGGCATATAGTAAATGAGTGTATAATCTCTAAAAATTCTGTTTAAACATCGCTGAGTAACACTAAAAGATTTTATCATGCTGTTATATTTTAATTATATAGGCTATTGCTGTTGTTTTATCAAATTTTTGTATGTACAAAACATGTATTTTGACTCTTATTATTCAGCAATGTGTAACTGCATATTTTTTTATTATTAAATAAGATTCCAAAGATTTATTTTTCATTTAATGCAGTTGCACCTTTATTTTTGTGTCTTGAAATAAATATTTTTTTGTGCTGAATCACTGTTGTTTGTTTCTCATTTCATTTTTCTGTTAAGAATATAACAGCCTTTAATTGTCAATTATAGGGGATTTACCAGGAATAAATAAGCCTCACTTAATAAACAATGCATAATCCTCACGCAAAACAGTAGGAATAAAGCATACACAGTATCAGTATCACAGTATCGTGTGCTTACACACGCTCAAATGTTACTATTCTGAGGTGCGTTTCCCTGTTTCTCTACATGCTCCATGCCAATCTGCCAAAGAGAAGGATATCAAGTCTTTAGTTAATCTCAATACATTTCTTTGGAAACAAACTATTGTGCAATCTGTTCCAAAACAGAGAAAAATGTATTTATTATGGGATGACCACTCTAAATTAATACACCTGCATATAATTTACTGGGGCACTGGCCATTTTTACTGGGACATTTAGAGGGACAATTTATAAAATACAAAGGAAAGGCAACAAATATGCACAAGTTTGAATGCAGTCGGTGCATTCCAAATGAAAGAAATGCATATCTAAAAGGAAAATCGCAATGAGAGCAATCATGGCTGCTACATTAAAGGTTCAAAATCAGTCCTGTTAAAGAACCTTTTGTGGGGGGATTAAAGATGTAAGGGTAAAAGAGTTGGACACACTGTCATATTTCTATCTGCATGTTTGCTATGTGATGCAAATGTCCATTCCAAGTGGCAGTTTGTTTGGTTCCCTATGCCCTTTATCCCTTCAACGCTCTCATCCTGAAGGGGTCGACTTTTTGAAGGGATTAGGTAAAGAAAATAAAACAGCCTCTGTCACTCAATCTTGAGACCATCTATTGTACAGTATATCATAAGCAGAGAAGGATGCTGAATAATGCTGAACCTTAAACAATACTATGCAAAACCTACATCAAACCCCTTTCTCTATTTCTTGATTTAGTATGTCAAAGTTTCAAAGTTTTTTTTTTCACTAATGTTCTGTGAGGAACTGTGATTTGTCCTTCTCCACATTTATAATTCACCCCCAGAGTTTACGTACCCTTTTAGAGCTTCTCTCTACCCTGAACCACGTCCTTCATCCATCTGCACTCAGATTCACTTAGCACCACAAATGTGAGAGCACAGTAATCAATGTTACTAAGCGAGGAAAGGGCTGTGGTGTTTTAATGCATTAAGCTCAGAGTCTCCACAAGCTTATGAAGCTACTGAAAACTCACAAGCTTTGAGTTCTTTCCCCCTTTCAGCCCATAGATGGTTGTGTTGGATTGATTTTCAGAGCCCTTCAGAACATTAATTAATTTTAGACTGTGAATACATTGAGAAAAGGGCAACCCAAAAGGCTCCCCATAAAAACCCTCTGTCCCAATTTTAAACAACATTTTGGACATCAGCTACCCTTGCATAACCTTTACATTGATACAGATGTATATGGAAATGTTCATCAAGATTAAGGTAACAAATCTCTGGCATTAAAGGGATGGATCACCTAAAAATGGAAAATTGTGTGGTTATAAAGATATTTTGAAGAAAGCTGAAAATCTGAAATCCACTGATCAAAAACAGAAAAAAAAAACAAATACAATTGCTTACAGGTTTTCAGCTTTCTTTAAAAATAAATTTTGTCTACGTTCAACAGAAGAGATTAACTCAAGACAGGTTTCAGAACATGTGAACAATGAGTAAATGATGAAAGACTTAAAATTCTTTTCGTGAACTATCGCTTTAAATGGGACTAATTATTTAAGAAGCCCTGGTTTGAAATATCTGTGGTGACTACTAGTCATCAATCAGCTCACTGATGTTTTTTTTTTTTCTTCTTCTTCAGATTTTTACTCATTCCTCTAAACAGATTGTGCTCTAAAATCCAAATGCCTGAATCCACAGGTGGGTTTGCGCGATAAAGTGAATGAATTATTGATGCCCATAGCTATTGTTATTTCAGCTCGATTCCAAGTGAGAGATGGTAAATTGTCGACTTTTTCACATTTCTGCTGAAGGATTCACTGTGATTGCATTGTAACAGAGTCAGACTTCCTAATACTTAAATGAAACATTTCCAGCCCTTGCAAAAGCTGCGACTGGACAAACTAATCTAGAATCTTTTTTTTTTTTAGCACAAGACATTTGTGCTAAAGGTGCGACTGGACAAACTAATCCAGAATAATTTTTTTAGCACAAAAAATTATTTTTTTGGTTTATTATTAATTATTAATTATTGGTTCCCCCCCCCCAGAACCATGCTTGTGTCAAATATTTTTGCAGTGCTTTATACGGTAGAAAGGTAAACTTGTTTAAAGTATTATGAATTGCTATGAAAAGCCACTTTAAGCTATTTCATCTCATATTTTTCATCTTGCGTTTCCACTGCATGTCTGAGGTTAAAAGCATATTACATAATTAAACGCAAAAAGGTCCCCAGGTCCTCACAAAAAGGGTTCAGAGTAAGTGACCAGGAAAAAACGCAGTGCAGAAGCCAATGTCACACTTATTTTAAATCTTGGTACAGTGACAGAGATGAAGATGAAAGTATGTAATTCCAGCAAAAATGGAAATGTATTATCTCTCAGTAATTTGCTTAGTTCACAAAAACATTTCAATACGCTTATAAAAAAGGAAAACTGATGAAATGTAAATGAAAATGCAAGCTTTAAACAGCAAAACTCAAAAACATTTACAGATCTATGCATAAATACTTTTCCAAAACAGGGTAGAAAAAGATTTACATCAAAATTACAAATGCAGAGGAATGTTATTTAAAAAAAAACTAAAGGAGAAATTATGTTTTCACCTTTACCTCAAATAAACAGCACTACATAGGACTATAAAAACTAGATAAAGTTGGACAAGCGCAATAATAGAGTATAGCAAAGGATCTACTGACCCCTGCTGTCAAGCCAACACATTTGTTGTGGAAAAACATAGGGTTTCATTCTCGGTAGGGGGACAGGGGGGAAATCAAGACAGAAATGTACACAAATATTAATAAGCAGACAGGTTTGAAAAGCATTTCACACTGCGTCATAAAATCAGTTTTTTTAAGGATGAAAATTAGCTTTAAGCTATTTACATATCAAAAAAATTCTACAATTTTGAAGCTTTCCCAGGCAATTTTTTTGTATGATTTGAAAAAAACAAATCATCTACAATTCTACCTTTTTTCTTTTTTTCTTTTTCTTAAATGTTACCACTGAATATTTGCAAGAAATTGAAGTCACATTGCGTCCATCCACTCTATGTATCATCAGACTGTGTCCTGTGGTAAATCAGCACTGCTGGTTCCTGACAGAGGTTGTGGATGCAATACATTTGTCCTGTAAAAATAAATAAACAAATAAGACATTATTATTTTGCAATAAATAAAAAACAGATTTTGTTAAATCAGACTCAAGTCTTCACTCACCAGAGGGTATCATAAACACCTGTCCAGAATTGAAGACTGATTTTACACCTTCAATCTCAACACGCACACAACTTGAGATAACGCTGAACACCTTCATAAAGAGAAGCACATAAGATAAAATGCTGTTGTCGAATAATGCACACACATTTATACAGTATGATAGAATTACATTTGATGCGATGATGAAAAAAAACATTCAAGCAGAAAAGGGTACTGAAAAAAACATAATTGTCATCAGGCCTGTCACGATAGTCAATATATCAACTTATCGTGCAACACTTTTAGATGACCTCAGTAATAATTTTTGTCGTTGCAATATGCATTTACAAATTCACAGTTAACATTAAAGCCATTTTATAATGACATTTACATTGTACCTCATCGGCCTCAAAAGTTTATAATTGGATAATTACCTAACAGGACGTTTATTAGTACATATAATAGAACATTTACTTTTTTATCATCTAATTATAAAATCTAAATAACCTTAAGAATGACAAGTATTATAAAGTGTTTATGGCTATTTGCATTATTATGCTTTTATCTAATCGTTATATAAATCATTTGCATAAAATTATCACAAAATGACAATATGGCTTATCGTACCAATATATTGCCCAACAAAAATTCCTTATGGAATTGAAAATGGCACTTACATGACACCTTTTCAACTGAAAACATTTCATGCATGTTGGCAAAGCAAAAGTTTGAAGCAGAAATGCTTAAAATAAAGGAAAGAATTGTAAAAACAGTAATATCATGCATATACATAGCATGTGTTCAGTCTAAATGTGTGTGAATACCTGAAAAGTAAAACAACACAAAAGTACAGGTTTAATGTATAGTGCTTATGCTGCTCAAATTTTTATTAATGCTTCAGCATCAAAACTTGCTTGATGTTTTTGACATCTTAGCTAATTTTGACAAGTTATTATAGTTTAGCATTATGTCAATATAATTATTAAACATTGTGTTAAATGTCACTTCATTTTAGTTCATTTCACTGATGGTTTTGTTCATTTTAGTTTAGTTTTGCTTTGTGAATACATTTTAATTTAGTTTCATATATTTACTTTAAATTTTAGTTTTCAGTAATAATTGTTAGCTGAAAAGTTTTAGATCAAAGTAAAGTGCTTGTACAGTTTAAGTATTGTGCAAAATTAAACAATAGATTGAACAGCCACTGAACCAAAACCATAAAAAAGCTATTTTACAAAGTAAAATGAAGATGCATGTCATGATTTAAATAATAACATAGTAAACAAATTATAACAAAACATGCCTATTTTACATTTTTTCTGGCAGATAAAGAAAAAAAAATAGAACAGATGTTTTAGGTTTACACAGAAATTATTTTACATGAACATAGACAGAATGAGTGATTTAATTCCCAATATGTTTCTTTTTTGCCAATTATTATTTTATATCAGTTCATTTTCCAGTAACTGTTGTTAGTTTAATTTAACAAAAATATTTTTGACGACTAGTTTTAGTCTTAGTTTTAGTCTTCATTTACTAAATTATTATTAATGCATGTATATGCGTTGGGTACCTGTGTATAATACAGCTATTTTATTTATTCTTGCAGATTTGTATCAACAGGCCAATCTTTTTCTTTTTTACATTGTTTTTTAGTTAAACTCTTTTAAAAATGGCATTTTCTACTCACCGAAACCGTATCAAGGTCCACCTGTGGAGGTTTCTTCATGAAAGACCCCAGCAGAATCTTTCCGTGTGAGAATGATCGGCTTTGGAGATCAACCATGTGACCCATCGCTCTGCCTCCATGGGAGTGCCAGTGGAAGTCATCAGGACTAATAACTTGTCCATCTAGAATGAAGAAAATCAATGCACATGAACAAGCTATATGAATCAACGCTAGGTTACAGGATGGCAATTTTTCTACACTGAAAAAAAGAGAAATCTCAGGCCACCAAAGCACATTATGCCTGATGCCAACAACTGCCCCCAAAGTGCTTGTGTCTTCATCTCACGTCTTGGGCTTTTATGCGATAAGCCTTAAATGCGCTTTGCAACCAAACCTCACAGCATGGACCAATTATCTGTGTGGTGCTCTGTGTGGTGCATTTGAATCCTGCAGAGAATTTTCTACATTAAAGCACTGTGGAGAAAGTCAAACACCTCAAACGGATGGATAGTAATGGCATTATAAACAGCAATTACAAGGGGAAAACTAGATGCCTTTTTAACAACACATTCCTATTCTTATGACAATTTATCATGAATTTACCGAGAGCAATAACTTCTTTTGAATAATTTTAAATAAATATAATTGGAATAATTAAATAATAATAAATAATATACATCAACTGCTCGAAATTGGAAAACTTGACATTACAGATCCTGCGATGTGACTATTGCAGATTTACACAAAGCGATTTCAATGCAAAATTGATGCATTATGCAGCCCTAAACTATACTATTGATGTTATATCTGCCTTTCTCATGTGCTAAACTATTATCTCATTTGCATTACAATTATACAATCTTTTGTTAAAAGTAATAGTTGAAAACTGCTACAACTAATAAATCATTACATTGACCCAACGGAAGGTAAGGCACCATAAATGTGCTGATCTGTGGTTTGTCTTATGGATTTGCCATTTCAAAAGCCCTAAAGTTCTGCAAATATGTATAAGAGCAAGTACACTGTAGTATTAGAGACTTTAAGTTCTAGAGTCCCATGAATTATGGACCAAGCTATCAGTTTTCTCATCTGTTCTTTTTTAAAGCTCCCCGACTTAGTAAAAAAAAAACAATAGATGAAATTAAGATACTCCATAAGATTACTTAAATCAATAATAAGCATTAAGAAAATAAAACAACTAAGTGGCAGGAAGCACATATGTCCTATTTAAGATAGTTCCCATCAGCTTCTACTTTGAAGTTATAAGCTATATGAAATTCAAAAGGCTTCTCGTATTTAGACTTTCAGAAATAACCCACATTCTATGAAAACAAAAAGCCAAAAGGTTAATACTGATTTTAATTATGTAAGCAGCATAAATAAATTATTAAATAAATGTATACATGAAGTAAAACTTGTTTGGTAACCTAGTAACCAACATGCAAAAAGGAGAGCACAGAGTTTATTCACCAAATGTGTTTCCATCTCCCATTATAGGCATAAAAAACACCTTAAGCAAGCATAAAAAATTTTTTTCAAATATTTTTTGTCTATGTCATTTGCATCATTAATTTCTCATGCAATACTTTGAAATGTGCATTAACACAGAGTGATGGAAACCCAGTTAATGAGAGGGAAGACAATAATAAAAACCAAGTGAAATGCTTTGCCTGTAACATGGCTACCGATATGTGAAATAGTCTTGTGTGTAGACAATGTTTTAGTTTACTTTTAGAAGCTGGGGGCCACAGGTGAGCAAACCACGCATGGAGGTTGTTCCAATCCTCATCTTCTAGCACAACAGGCTGCAATGGAGGGCCACAGACATCACAGCGTGCCAACACCCGTGCAGTCTGTCGCACATGAGTCATTCTAGATGAAGGCAAATCTGAAAATAATGGGGTGGGGGGCGGGGTTAACGTTACCATTCAGCTGTTTTATAAATCTAATTTTCCAATTTCATTTGGCAGGAGGGAAATGACACATTGCAAGCTTAAATTACATTGTATGAGAGCTCACCAACATCATCATCATCATCATCCTCCTCATCGTGTTGCTGAAGCTCAACCATTGAAGATGGCCCACTTCTGAAATCAATGTCACTGCAAAACAAACCAAACAAACTCATTGGAGAGGCAGAACATTTTAAACTGTACTATCAGCGATTGCCACCATTTTTATAAGCAGAGTCAAGAAAAGTATGTGACTACATACTTAGATTGTTTTATAGAAGAACTTACACATCAGATAATCTGTTACAACCACTGGAAACCCGGACACTGGTTTTATTTGTGGTTGCTGATGGCTGCACAGTAACACCACTGGTGAAGCCCAAGGACATGTGGCTCATTCCCTGCATCTGATCATCAGTGTGGGCCATAGTCTCACTCGAGTGATCCGACTGGTCCTCAAGAGAGTGAAGGAGGTTTCTGCGACCGAGCTTTCTGTGCCTTTGTCCACTTTTGACCATGCTTTTATTTTTAGCAGAAGCAAAAATGGCATTCATTGAGGCTAAAGAGCGTTTGATTGATTTTGGTGTGTTGACGATCTTTCGTTTTATGTTCTTGGCATGATTCTTTGTTTTTTGTGATTTTGCTGAATTTCCTTTCTTTTTAGGAATGTTTGATATTTTGTTTGGACTGTGTTGGGACTTTTGTGGAGGGGGACTGCATGGTGGTGGAAGCTCATTGGCTGTTTCTTGAGACTGTGGTGTCTCCCACCAATTGGAAGGAGCTTTTCTTTGTCTTTTCTGTGGATTATTGTCTGGTTCAGAAACCTCCGGCATTCTAAAAGAAGATGAAAGCCGTTTCTTTGCAGATCCAGTGTCTCGCGAGTAGACAGAGTCAAACACTCTCTTCTCACCTGTTCAAAAGAAAAAAATGTAAGAACAAAAAAATTTCGATTTAGGAATGAGGAATTCGTTTAGGAATGAGTTTACCTGCTAGAACGCTGTGTTGCCTGCGAGGACTACACCATTCTGGACTATTTTCCAGAGCATTGTCATTCAGACCAGATCCCACTTCCTGACTTGAGGTTGTCAGTGGAGCGGCTGTTGGTTTTTGTTTCCTCTGACCACCTTTTTTCTTGGGTGTCTTTTTCTCAGCTCCAACATCGCGTCCATTGGCACCTGCTATTACCTTTTCAGTACTGTCCGACACATTGCAACGCTTCTGTTTCTTTTTGTTCTCCTGGACAGGCCTGAAAGACGGTGTTTCATCTGAATCAACAGCAGGTGTTTTGTTTGTTGCTGTTTTTGTGCTGGCTTTTGGCCTTTGTGTTGTACACGTCACATGCTTTGGCTGAAGATCTGTGGTACTTTCATTTGGGCTGGTGAGCCACCATTGTCCTGGAGGATTTCTCTTCCTCTTTACACACAAAGGACTGTCTGAAGAGATGTCTGATAAAATTGGTGGTGGATCCTTTGGTTTCGGTTCCACTGTTTTTGTTTCTTTTCTCTTCTGCTTTTTGACTGGAGATTGTTTATTCAGAACTATAATACACAAGGGAGAAAAAAAAAGATCGCGTATAAATAGTTTTCATCAGCAAAATTGGTTATCAGTTGTCAGAGATGCCCAATCACTTGAAAGTGTTTGATTTCTTTGTAACTAAAACAACACATTTGCATTTACTTTGTTTTTTTATATTATTATATTTTTATTATATTTTTTATATTATTATATTATATTTAATTATTTTTAAAAATCCTGCTAATTATTTTGTAAAGCCACTCATAAAAACCGCTTAATGTCAAGCCAGGGTAATGCATATTTTAATTGGTGAAAAATAAGACGTATTTATATAGCATATTTTTCATTTTCAGCTTAGCTTAACTTAAGTTTGGTGTTTATAATACGTTTACACACCCAATTATGTTTATCATTTGTTTTTTACTTTCATTTATTTTTTTTATTCTGAACACTGTTAAATTTACAGAATTTGTTGTTGGAGGGGGAGCAGGTTTATTATTATAATAAGAAAATTTTAGAGATATGGGTATAATCTTTTGTTGTTGTTTTTTACGTTTTCTTTTATTAAATTGAATGAAATATCAATTCTGATTGTCAGGGGTATTGACAAATGTTATATCATATATAACAAGTATATACTGTATACAAATGACTGTTTTAAGAAATAGATAATTGAATCACTAGCTATGTTTCCATTAGCCTATTTTTTATGTGAATTATAGAATATTGTGTTTGTCTTGACAAAAAGACCAATATGTGAATACAATTGAAAATGTTTTTGAAAATATATATTTGAAAATACATTTTGAAAACTGTCTGAGCGAGTGCCCAAAGATTAGTATTCCAGTTTTGCGCACAAGTTTAATTCACATCTTTGGAAGGAAATATATAGCTATGCAGTCAATAAATTAAAAAATGGCTTCACAAAAAAACTATAGTAGTAGTATAATCTATAGTTTTGTTCTAAGATGCACAAGGTTTTGCTCTACCAATGTTTAAAACTTGCACCTTGTCAAAACATCAATGATGTTATGTTAATGTGACTTTAATTTACATTATAATGTTCTTTTCTCTCAATAACAGAACCGTGATTGAGCCAAAGTGAATTGAAGACAGATGATTTCCAGATTTCTTGAAAACACTGTATAGCTGCATAATTAAGCCAGTGCCAGAAAAACTGACCTGTTCTTTGTTCTTCCTCTTGCTCGCTGATGGCAGGTGAAGGTTCATGCTCTTGCTCCTCACAGGAAGGATGCACCAACACTATTTGTTGTTTAGAACTTTGTTTCTTTGTCTTAGAGACACTGTCCTCCTTTTTGCTGTTCTTGCGATTTTTACTAGATTTCACTGAGTTAGCAGTGTGTAGATCTGCTACAACATTGACTTTATTGGATTCCTTCTTTGCTTTTGACCTTTGTCTCCCCTGGTTAGATGATTGTGTGGATTTCTTTGTAGTTCTAGACTCCGCAACTGGGATTTCTTTGCTGCCACCGGTTTCAGTTTGACCATTTTTTTTAGTAAGTTCAGCAGGCTCAGGTGGCTTGCTATTTCTACGTCTCATTCCTGCAAAAAAATGCACAAAAAATTACTAAATTTAATTAAAGGTTATAATATCTAAATATATTTTGCAATAGTGAATATATAAAAATGATAAGTATACTGTTAAAGAATATGCACTAATACAGAGCTTTCAAAATGTACAAATGTTTAAGTGTCACAGGAAAGGTTTTACATCTACTAAAACACTTTTTAATACTTGTATTAGCAAAAATATTTAATTTCCTTTAATGTGAAATTAAAGTTAAATATTTTCTAATAACAAAAATAATTCTTTAAAAGATATATCATCGTTTTCTTATTATCAATAATAAGAAATATTACATAAGCACCTAATAACAGTATTTGAGATTTCAGAAGAACCGTAACACAAAAGATTGAGTAACAGCAGAAAATTCAACTTTACCACCAAAGAAGTAAACAACCTTTAAACGATTTTCTAAACTTATGCTGAATTCTAAATGTATTGTTTACAGTATTTACTTTTAATTGAACTAATGCCTTGGTAACCATAAGACACTTCTGTTAAAAAACAATTAAAAAATAACTTGTCGGCAAATCTATTTTTTATCACATGCAATTAAATTATTAACCTTCCAAAACATTTGGGTTCCAAGATTTCTACAGGTTTCATCAAGTCAAATTTAAGACTTATTAAGACCATTATCAACTAAATTTCACTTACACAAGGCTAAATGTGAATTTTTTTTTTTGAACGGCCCAGTTAAAACATAAAAAAACATTAAAAACAAAATTTTATTGTATGGAAGACAAATAAATCATATTGGTAAATAGAGTTAATAAATACATTTTGTTAAAACTTTAATCGAGATGGAATGTTAGTTATTGGGTGAGTATTGGCACAATTGGGTAGCTTTACAGGGACATGGGAAAATGAAGACCTACAACACAATACTTCAGGGAATTTTAGGGTGCTTTCACACTGGTGAATCAATTCAGTTTTTCCGAAGCAGGGATTAAAATTGTTACATTGTTGCGGTTCGCTTTCACACGGCAAAGTTTCTAAACGGACCAAAAGAACTAAAACAAGTCACGTGTGAGTAAACTCTCCTCACCTAGGTCAGTTTCATGGTTTATTTTACCATGAGTCCAGATCAGCTGTCACTCAGGGTGGTGGTTTAATGGTGTTTGACAAGGTGCACGCGATGTGTCTGAAGAGCGAGGACGAATGCGGTGGGGAAGGATGAAAAGGGTCTGCGAAGTACTTGAGGACCGGGAGGGAGAAGCGCAATTTCCGGGAGATTTTCACTCATTTGCGGGCATCCGGTAGTCTCAATAGTGCATTTGCGGGAGACTCCTGAAACCTCCGGAAGACTTGGGATGTCTGGAATGATCTCCTGCCCTACTCATAATTCTCTCTTCATATAGCTGTAAGCCTATTACATATCCATGAAACACTGTGATATAACCGGGCTCGGATCGTATTGCTTTCTCACTACAATCGATCCGCTCCAGAGTTTGTTTCAATGGAGCCGAGACCACCTCATTCAAGTGATCTCGGACCGATTGTTTTGGCACGGATTGGAGCGCGATTGCTGGATTCACATATGCCAAACGAACCATGTTAACTGGGCAAACGAGACTGGTTCCGAAACATAAGTCTACATGTGAAAGCACCCTAAGACTTTTTAAGACCTAATACTTTACTTTACAAATTAAGAACCCCACGGATACCCTGTATGGTATACTGCATTTTCCTACATAACCAATGTAAGATTTGACAAAAGTGATTTACCTGCTGGCACTGCTTTGTGTTGCTGTACATTTTGAGTTGATGCTTGATCACAGACCCTTTCCTCCAGTGTTTCAGTTACAGTATCTGCTCCATCTTCTACAGCGACATCAGACACGGAGTCTTTGGCAGCCTTTTTTGAAGCCTTTCCACGTTTTCCTTTCAGTTTTTGTTTAGCAGACTCAACTTGCACTTGTTTTTTTTTAGCATCCGCCCCATGCCGACTGGCAGGATGAGCTTCACTCTGTGAGAGCTGATCTGCTGAAAGTGGCTCAGTAAGCAAGTTCTCCTTCATAATGTCTGCTGGGACAGGTCTTTTATTTTTGCTGCCATCTGCCTTCCGAGGAATGATAAAAAGTACAGGAGCCTCATCATCCAGGATCATGAAGTCCTCCTCTAAATCTGCAGGTGGAGGAGCTGCTGAAACGGCTGCTTGTTTCCTGGAACTTATTAATAGAATTGTGTTAGGGTTGAGATAAAGTAACAACGGTTGCTCCATTATGTTTATTTAGAATATTCCCTTGGACATATTGTTATATAGTCGATTATGATTGTAAACAGACATCAAAGTTTGAAAGAAAGAAAGTACATGATAAATGAATTTATTTCCTCCTAAAAAAGGCAATCACTTAAAATGATTAACCAACTATATACATCATGATTACTTCATTTCAAATTATGTTTAGGGGAACTTGCATTTAAAAAAAAGTGACACAAATAATGTTAAATAATAAGATTACGCTACAAAATAACTATATACATGGTGAAAACTGACAAAGGTAAATTTGCCTTGGTGCTTTATTTTTTATCCATCATGAAAATAATAAAATCCATCACAAACATCAATGGCAAAAGCTCTTTTGAGTCGTGCTATGTTCCTCCAGTTTATTTTTTCTATAGAACAGTAATATTCAAAAAGTGCATAATATTGCTGCAGAAAGATTCGATTTGAGTGTCTGTGATTATTCATGGCCTCGTGAAATTTACTTGTTAAATCTAACAAGCTACCTTTTAATATTTGATGGATACATTTTAAAGAGAAAATGTCTCATATTTAGGGTATATGTGAAACAAGTTTGCATAACGTCAATCTATGATCTTCAATGCCATCCCATGAACAATGTCTACTTGAACGCTCAATCAGAAGTTCTAAAAGCGTTTGAGGGTTGTGTTGTCGACAGTCAAGAAAAGCAAATCCTCTTTGCATGCTCTACCAAATGATGAATAACAGAAGCAGTTTAAGCTTAGAATGTCACATTGAAACTCACCATGGGGATTTAGGCATCAAAGCCTTTTTAAGCTTGTGTTGGAAAGACAGTCCTCTGACTGAATCCTCTGCCACCTGGTTCTGGCATTGCTCAGCCTCAAGTTTATCTTCACACTCCTCAAGCAAAACAGGAGAAATCTGATTTGGATCTTCATCCCTTAATAATCAAAAAGTGGATTCAATGAGACTAATAAGAAAACAACTTAGATGCAACATTACAAAATTAGTTTTCTTTACATCAATTCTGGAGATGAAGACTGGGTTGCTTGCACTGGTGCTCTATTGTTTTCTGCTGTCTTCATGCTGAAAAATAACATTTTGGTTACTTCAAAATTTACTGCAATGAAACGGGTATGAAATTAAACATACACTTGAATGCTACAATGCTGATGTTACACATTAATATCTGACCTTGATAATGCGTCAGCATTTGGTTTAGTAGTTTTCCTAAACTCAAGCTTTTCCGGTGGTGATGCCAGAGACCCACTATCCCTTCAAAGCAGAGATAATACCAGTTAGGCAACGAGACAACACAAACAATAACAGTTACCAGTCTATTTTACCCTTACATATTGAGTGATTCCTTCACTGCTTCTGACTGTTGTGTGCAGGACGCCTCACTTATGTCTCCACCAATGGGTTCCTCATCCTCAACTCCAAATAGAAGTGGATCAGCCACAGGCCTCACTCCATTCATCGTTTTATCCCTTTCAGTTTCCAAAACAATAGGGCTGGAAGTCTTTATGGGAGCGATTCCTTTAAATGGACTCTCTTCTAGAAAAAAAAACGTATCAGTTGTAACAGAAAGTATTAACTGCAGATGATAAGATTAATAGCGAGCCATTTTAAACAATGATTAAAAAATGAAAAGATAACATGGTTGCCAAGTAAAATTACAGTTAGACCAGCAATAATTGGTCCAAAACATGTAGCACATTTAACTGTATGTTTTTAGATTTACATTTACAATTTCTTGTAATTCTTTAGTATTATGATACGTTATTTTTAACTTAATTAACTTAATTATTGTTTGTTACAATTAAACTTTTTTGACAAATACAAATATATATTTTAAGATTTAATCTTTTTGTTTTAGTCATTAGTGGCAAATAATTGCACTGAAATCATAAATTTAGGTATTTCAGAAGCATTTTTATTACAATAGGTAATATTAAAGGTGCAGTAGGTGATTGTCTTCAGAAACATTTTTTGTTTTGCTGGTTGAAAGTCTCTTTACATTTCAATAGAACTGATTAAAGTAAATGATCTAAATGTATTTATATGTATTTTATTTTTATATTCTGGGTGAGGCAGACTCAAACTGTCAGTTAACAAGTTTAAATGTGTATTTTTGTGCAGCCTCTTTACGCAGATCCGTCATTTGTGCGTACACATGAAGCATGCCACCTACAGATGACAGAGAGACATCAGGCAACTCTGCAACCTGAAAGACTTCTTTCTAAAAGACCAACGTGGCCTTGTAAACATAAAAAGAAAGATTGTTTTTGAACATAGTGTGCTTTTTTATAAATGAAGTTATATGCACAGAAGTGTGTTTCAACCAGTGAAAATGTCCGGCAAAATATTGACTTCACGGAGTACCTTTTACAGCATTGATAAGATTTAATATAAGTTAAATAAAAAAATTGTTAAATAAACCTGAGCATTCATTTAGTTGTTCAAATGTAAAAGGAGATAAAAACAACTGATGTACGAGGATCAACAAACACAAGGGAAAATGTAGTCACTCATTGTCTTGGTAATGTAAGTGTAATGTAAAACGATGGCAGGATATTTCTGTTTTTAGCACTCCATCTGATTTTATTCAGTTGAATAACGAAACATTAGTAAATAGCGTTCTTCCGCCTAACCAGCTTTACTGAGGTTAAGTTTGATTTATATTCACACATTCCTAAATTTTTGAACAGTGACAACTTGTGCCACTCTCCCAATATCAGGTCTGATTAATAGACAGTGAACAATTTTGTATTTTGTAGTCATTGGCTGGTTATATGATTTCACTATTAAGAATTTGCAAACTACCTTACCTACCAACTCTTGCAAACAAGAACCGTGATTTTTTTGCCTAAAGAAAAGATCACGATTTTCTCAGGATTCTTTAGATACAAAATAAAGGTTAATATAAGTGGGCTTTTATTATTGTTAGTCTCAAACATGTGGTAAAACAGACTTTGCGTAGCGGTACTGTTGGTTAAAATGCACACTTTTGTATAGACTTGGAATGGTGGACTTGAACAGACTTTAGATTTGTCCTGGTCATTAATGCAGATGATAATTCTGATGTTGAATTATTGTGTTTGAGACATATGCTTACAATCTGTCATTTTTCTGCTTAAAATCTGTTACTGATGTGATTTTCGTGAATACAGAAGACTGGGTGGGAATTTTTGCATTTCGGTGGGTTTTGGATACTTTTTGGGCTGGAATCAGTCAGCTACATCTAACAACACTGTGCACGCTTTCGGTTTCATTTACACCGCTAAGAGCGGTTCACTTCCCGCGCGGCTCGCAAACGATCACTCTGTGCCACAAACTGAATGTTATTTGCTACTTTATTACCTGTTACTAACAGCCTTCATTGAGAGGCATGCGCGCGCCCGCCCTCCCTGTGGTATCAGCTGACGCTCAGCTTACATCACGTGTGATTTTGCGGTCGCAAATACATCATTACATGAAGACAGAAATGACATTTTTGAGGTGAATTATATCTTATAAATACAGCATGTGACTCTTTCAGTACCAGTAGGAGGTGTCCACGTTGCTGAACATGGCGTGTAAAACAATGTGAAGACTTGTGCGGCCACCACTGCTTCTCTCCTAACCTTGAAAATATGATTGACAGAATCGTACAAATGCTGGATTAAGATCGTCAAGGGGGTCAAATCGAGATCGGGATCTTTTTACGATTAATTGCGCAGCTCTAATTTATGATATGTTAAAATCATATTGTTTATCAAAATAAGAACAACAATTAATCACTTCTTGATGCAGTACTTGGTTTACCTCATACAGTTTGCTGTATATGCTTTCCCTCTATTTATATGGAGCTTTATATGGACATTATAAATGTGCAGATTCAATGCAGGTTTATAATGCTGCATAATGTGATTGATATTACCTTTATCCATTTGTTCATCCTCTTCAATGCTGTTTTCTTGGATCAAAGCTTCTTTGTGTTCCACTACAACCTGTTTAGATGATGCATTCTGCATTTCTGAACTAGATGAACTTTCACTTTTCTTTTCACCATTTACAGTGTTTTTGGGCAAGGGTGAAAGCAGAGGCAAACCCAAATCAGAGTCAGCATCTATCATTAACAGCAACAAAGAAGAATTGTGTGTCATACAATGGGTGTGATACAATGGGCAATTGGCAAAATGACAAGATAGCAGTGAAATGACATGTTCAGCAATTAGATAAATGCAAGAATAAAATTACCAATTTCATCAAAAAGCTTGTCAATGTCACGCAGGCTAAGGACCTCGTTCACCTTGTAATCAGACGTGGCTCTGAAAATCAGCAGCAACATGTAATATGACATGTGTCTTAAGATATTAATTTGCAATATGTTGTTTTTTACTTACTCTAGTAGTTCATTACTTACATTTCATGTCCTTGGTAATAATGCAGTTTCTTTTTCGCTTTGACCTAAAAAAAAGCAAATAATTCAAACAAGTTCATAAGAAGAAGCACTACATAATATAAACAAAAAGTTATTTTTTGACATTTTTCATGCAGTGAACACATTCATTTTGATGTAATGCTTTGTAAAATAAAGTCTCTTCTACTCTCTAAGCCTGATTTTATTTGATTAACAATACAATGATTGCAACCTGTGAAATTGATACAAATTTATAAGAAATTTCATATTTATAATTATATTTGACTCATATTTATGATTATATTTGTATTTATTGTAAAAGTATAAACACAATACATTTATTAAATACCATTTAAAGAAATAAAAAAATGTATTTATCAATTATAGATAATTATTGCTCAATTATAACTGAGTCATAATAATGACAGAATATACAATTAATAATCTAACATAATTACAATATTACATATTACAAAAAAACTAATATAATAATATAGATTTTTCCCTTTACAAATAATAAATACCAGGCTATATTTATAGCTTTATTAAATTGATTACAATTCATATAAAAGCTGTAATATTGTGAAACAGTATGTTTTGCAAACAGTGACACGTTTTGTTTTCAATATTCTTTGAGGGAAAATTTTAAAGAACAGCATTAAAAATCTAAAACAATCCATTGGTTTTGGTTAGAATGTAAGGTTAAAAATCTTTCCTGTCACTTCTGCTTAATTTAATTTGTTTTATAATAGTAAAATAATGAATAATACGCAAATGTTGACATGATAAACTGCTTTAGGTTGCAACCGAACAACCATTTTGATGTCAACCAACGTAAATGTCACCGCGCCACTATTTTCGTTTAGAAGACAGCGGTTACGTCTTAAAAACCTTAGTGAAATGCCTATTAATAGTATTTTAGAGCCTGTGGTGCCCTAAATACTGTCTAATTAGTGAGCTCAGTTGTTTTTGAGAAGCGACCACTGACAGACTATTTTATAAGTGATGTTTTTTCTCAGTTACGTTTAGGCTTAACTACTGACCTGCGACATTGTGGTGAAGTCCAGCCCTGGATAAAAGGTATATATGTCCGCCTGTAAAGCTTATAAACCCGTAAATAATCCGTTTTTTCGCCTCCTTCTAAACATGACTGTTAGCTGACTGCCATTAGTAGATAACATTGTACTCTTCTTTGTTTAAACAACAGTCTCGATGCTGATGTACGACCATTACATTTATTATAGCTTTATGCTCAAAATATCTGAGGAAATTAAGTATTTAAATGCTAATATCTCACGAAATAACTTAATATGTTGCATAGAGTCCGTCACTGTATCTGGCCCACAACAACAACACAAATTCTCCCGCTCATTTTTCTTCCTGTGCGGGAGGAAGAGCCACAATGAAATGCTGCCACCTACAGCCGCGGAGTGTTTCATAGCGTTGACGCAGAACCATAGATCAGAGGTACCCAAACTTTTTCTTATGAAGGGCCGAAAACTAATCTAGTTTGAGGGTGGTGGGTTTGCGGTACGGTAAATATACCAAACTGTAAAGTTGTCAATGTAATTTCCTAATTTATTTTTATAAGACATTAAATAATTTATTATAAAATTTTATCAATGCTATAATTTATTACATTGAAAATACTTTGATTGTATTATTAATTATACAGTTTTGCACATTTTATAATGAACATCTTAAAATAAAAAACATGAACATTCCCATTTATAACACAAAGAATATAATCATAAAGGCTGCATCCAGATACTATAACTCAGCCTTGATTCACTTGCTGATGTCTTCTGCAATGTCTGCTACATCCATCAAGTGAATTTATGTGTCTTTTTAATTTAACTCATTCACAACATTTAATTGAAACATTTAATTTAAGTTTGCTTTATTGTAGCTCAACAGTTAAAAAATTCAATTTATCTTAAATTAAAAACAACAATCTCTGTTAAAGGCATTCCCCCAAAATTCCCCAATACTCTCTCGCTGTTCCCAGATGTGATGGAGGACCAAATTAAAGGTTACTGTGGGCCAACTTTGGCCCGCGGGCCCTAGTTTGAGCATCTCTGCCATAGATAGACTCTAAGAAACTGCATCTCTGCCATAGATAGACTAGGAAACTGACTTCAAGATTTTACTACATTCAATTAAACATGATTAAGGCTGACAACCTTTGACTGGAAACTATACAAACTAACTAGTTCTAGTCTAAAAGTTTTTAAATAGCCTAAATGGTGGCAGGGCAGGCAAAACCCAGTTTTTTTCACATGACAGTTTTGATATTTTAAACTTTTCATAGCCTAAAGTTTTATAAAGATAACATCCAAAATGTATGTTTTGTCACAATTTAGTGCCAGGAGCTCAAGTGGAAAAAAGCACACTTTTCTTAATTATTAATTTATTTATAACTAAAATACAGTATATTAAAGGGATATTTTACTCAAAATTACCATTTACTCACCATATAGGCCTACTCACAAGGTTCCGAACCTTTATGAGTTTCTTTTCTGCAGAACAAAAACTAATTATATTTGGAGAATGCTGGATACTGATAGCAACAGACTTCTATAGAGGGGAAACTTACTAAAGAAACAATGCTGTAGGAGCCAGGATAAAAGTTTTTGCCTTTTTTATGTCTTTTTGGGCATCACTGTGTCTCAGTGGTAAGCACCTTTGCCTCACAGCAAGAAGGTCGCTGGTTCAAGTTCCAGATGGGCCAGTTGGCATTTCTGTGTGGAGTTTGCATGTTCACCCCGTGTAGGTGTGGGTTTCCTCCGGGTGCTTTGGTTTTCCCCACAGTTCAAAGACATGAGGTATAAGCGAATTGATTAAACTAAATTGGCCATACTGTATGAGAGTGTGTAAGAGTGTGGGTGTTTCCCAGTACTGGTTTGCTGCTGGAAGGGTATCCACTGCGTGAAACATATGCCAGAGTAGTTGGCAGTTTGGGTGGCGCTAGCTGTGGTGAACCCAGATAAAACTACAAAAATGCTTTACAAGATTGAGATACGTTTCTTAATAAGTTTTATAGCCACAAAAATACATTTTTTCATATAAAATAATTATTTATATTCATCATCATATGTACAAAAATCATATACAACTTGGGTAACTGGAAAACATATGGCAACCAATTATTGTTAAATTCCTTCACATCTCCCTTTTAAAATGCTGTCTCCTGACTTCACTTCTGAAACTTCCATATCTTCAGTTATTCATTATAATTTTATTGTTGTAGAAAACACACAGGTCACGGTCACTGTAAGATACTCAATACTGAAACCCCTTTACCCTGATATGAGTAATTCCTTTTGTGTAACTCACCTACACAAGCTTTGCATTTCATCACAAAATTTTCTCTATTATTTATCAAATGTACATATAAAATATACATACTTAAATGATTAAAAATAAATAATAATAAAAACATATTTTTGGATGATTATAAATTTAGAATTGAATCGTCTTTTGTTTTTCAGAGGTCTCCATCGGTAACACAGCTTCATCTGCATTCATGTCTCTGTAGAGAGGATGCTTAATGTGTCTCCAAATGACCAGCAAAACCTTGATCGCAAATAGTGCAGAAGCCAAACCCAGTAAAACAGCTGTGGAAAACAACACAAGATACGGTCATAAAATACTACAGTTTAGAAACACAACCATATAGCATTATGATTTTACACTGGCATTTAATAATTTGCTCTTACAAATGAGAACAACAGAAGTAAATATGGCAACTACAGAACACATATACAATTGAAGCCAAAATTATTAGCCCTCCTATGATTGTTTTCCTTTTCAAATGTTTCTCAAATAACGTTTAACAGAACAAGGAATTTGTCACAGTATTTCCTATAATTTTTTTCTTCTGGAGAAGAACTAATTTGTTTTGTTTAGGCTAGAATAACAGCAGTTTTTAATATTTTTAAAACCATTTTAAGGTCAATATTTTAGGTCAATGTTGTACAATGATTTGCTTAATTATCCTAACTTGCCAAATTAATTTAATTTTCCTTGTTAAGTCTTCAAAATGCCCTTTAAGCTGAATACTAGCATCTTGAAAAATATCTAGTAAAATATTCTGTACTGTCATCATGGCAAAAATAAAAGAAATCAGTTATTAGAAATGAATTATTAAAATTATTATGTTAAGGAAAAATAGACAAAATATTCTCTCTATTAAACAGAAATTGAGGGAAAAATATACAGGGGGGCTAGTAATTCAGGAGGGCTAATAATTCTGACTTCAGCTGTAACAATATAATAATATTTACTGTATTTTATATTAAATAAATGCAGCATTGGTGAGTAGAATAGGCTTCATTTAAAAAAAAACACAATATTAGATTATACAGTATATAAAGGAAATGTTATAGTAATTGAAAAGTGTTTTTTGTTTGTTTGTTTGTTTGTTTGTTTGTTTGTTTGTACAGAAATGTGATAGTGTTAGAGGACCTGAGAGTGTATTAGTGTACAACATTTTTTGGCTCACCTATGTAAATGCCATTTCTGCTCGGATCCGCAGAGTTAAAGTTCTTTGTCATGTTTCCACTCAAAGCCACGATAACAACAGGGTAGACAGTCAGAATGTATCGTAGGTGCTTCTCAAACACAAAAGTCTCCACAATGAACCTGTAAAATTAGAGGAACTATTAAATTAGAATTATTTTCAACAATTAACAACTTTTATTTATTTAAAGGTTAGTTCAGAAAACAGATTCTTATCATTTTAAACATATCTAAAATAAAACTCTATCCCTCTTAAAGAGTTATGTTTAAAAATCTTCTATCCACATTGTTCCATATATGATTACTGTTTCAAGTTATGAATAGTGCTTCTAGCTTAGGGAATTTCCATTCAAAAGAACCTACACAAATCACTTCAAAAAATAGGGCAGGTAATATCAAGTGTATCAGATTATTTTCTCTTTGTATTCCCGACAACAAATATATCCATGAGAAAATGCTTTTTAAGAGTTGAGATTATTCTTGGCCCAATGAAAGTAATTTGTTATTGATAAATTTCCTTTTACTATGAATGGACTGTAAGAGGAATAATGACACCTCATACGTTTTTTTTTACATTTTGCTGATTGTTTACAGCTTAACATAAATTGCTTACATAATGAAAAATAAATCTTAAAAATGAAAATATCTTACCAAGCAATAGCTTCGCCCAACAAAACAGAGAGAGAGACGGTCGCTGCATCTGAATCAGTCATTCCGGCTTCATATCTCAGCACAATAGTGAAGTTGATCAGGGTTGCAATAGTTGTCCATGTTGTATAAATTGCAATGCCGTTCTGAACCTGCAGGATTGGGTTACAATTAGTGTGACCTTTATAAAATTCTCAATGAAGATGCTGTTAATTTTTCCGTGGTATCTTACCATTATCCGGATGCACCAGAGGTCAACTTTATGATATTTGTTTAACCAGGATCCATGTTGTTTAAGGGCACGGCAGGTGAAGATTATGAGCAAATAGTTTGTGAAGGCAATCAAAGCAAGGAAAATCAGTGCAGCAATCATCACCCTGTGAACAAAGAAACAGGAGTTGTATTCACAACAGCTCAATTAATATAAATAGAGAGATAAATACGTGTAATTATGAATAAAGTCTTAAGTTACATGGGTAAATTTGTAGGAATAGCCATGATTCAAAATTAAGGATTCAAGTTTTATGACAAAAATTAAGTAAAGATCAAGATATATGTAGACTGTTTGTAATTGTTTTTATTTATTTTCTCAATATTTAGATTTTTTCCAGATTACAAAATTTCAAATTGTTAAACCTTGGCAAAATGTTGTTCTATTAAACCTTATATCAATGTAAAGCTTATTTATAAATCTTATTTTCTTAATTTCACCCTCATGACTTCTGTGGTCCAGGTTCACAAATATTATACACATGAATAGATAAAAATGTACAGAATGAATTATATTAAACTGCAAACAATTATAGATTTAACTTATATAAAATATTACAAAAATATTTGTATATGACATTGTATTTTATTTATTTATTTATTTATTTATTTATTTATTTATTGATTGATTGATTGATTGATTGATTGATTGATTGATTGATTGAAACATAGAACCTAAACATATTTTATTTCAATAGTCTAATTTCTAACTTGAAAAACTAAAACTAGTTATATATAAATATTATGTTTAAAATGACAAAGACTTACTCTCTGTCCCACAGAAGGAGCCAGCCAATGTTCAACAGCATGTTTATAATCCAGACGATGAAGAATGGATACGACAACACAGCAGGACTGCAGTACATCGGGCCATTAACACTCCTAAAAAACAAAAAACATACTGTAAATCAACTTCAGTCACATTATTATAAATGACATCTCGTTTTTGTGTTAAAGCTTTACCTCCTGCATGTAGTGGAGAGAATGTAAGCGATCATGAGCGACAGCCAGGTGTAAATGACACCCCAGATGGAGAAGGTCCATCCCGACGGAGTGACCTCAGTGTTATACTTGTTTGATATAGCGCTAGTGGTGTTACGAAATGGACCTGCAACATAGAATATATATAGGCTATATTATTTATTTATAAGTTATTTAATTCTCTGATTTAAAATGAAATTTTTATTACTTTAGTTTTGAGTGTCACATGATTTTTAAGGATCATCTGATTCTGGCGCATTTTTGCCATATACTTCAAAAAAGTAATTAATTAGTAATTAATTACATCAGTAAAATTAAGTAATTTAATTACATGACTCAATACTTAAAATCCCTATAAATCTTAACAGACAACTGAAATTTTAATATTTTAATCATTTAAATCTGAGTCAAAACAGGGCTGTTAACTTTATTTAAAACATGCAATAAGAAATTTTTAACATTATATTATGTATCAAAACAAAATCAAAATGTTAAATGTTTTAATGTAATGTAATTAAAGTAATATTTTATACATAACATATATTGTCACCAAGTTCTTGCACAATTGTTTTAGTTATTTAAATTGTTGTTTTAATTGAAAAATATAAATCTGGTGCAAATAAAATTGTAGTACAAAATAAATAGAACAAATTAATCTGCTTCCCTGAATGGATTTGTTTGATTTCTCTAAATGTGGTTAGGATTTTTACATTATTTGAAGCAAATACATTATTAGTAACTGATATTAGATTAACTAAAAAATAAATATGAAAAGTAATTTACTTTATTTTTTCCATGCGGAAGTATATTGAAGGACTTTTAATTTCAAGCGTTTCCGGTGCCATTACAAAATCGGTGCGTTTAAGGTCTGTTTTCTATAAAAAATCAGCGACCTCCTCTGTGTTATATCGATATAAAGTGGGTCTCTGATTGTAAAAGAAGCAATGCAAATAATTCATTTTTACCCACCATGTTCTAGAATATAAACATATTTTACCCCAGTATATTCAATAAATCCTGACGGGCGCGTGCATTTAAAGTCTTTTCATTTCATTTTACGCTTGAGCAACTAAATGAGCACTGAAGTCTATTTGACTGATTATATTTTAATGTCATTACAATATCGATGCTGCAAGAGGAACCGTATAAAATAGAAAAAAAAAATCACATTAACTGTTCACCGGAAAGTTTATTAGTATGGAAAGAAACATCAGCTCTGCATTTACCCTATCTCAGTAACTTTTTTCACTAATCACACCCAACAGTGATCTGGAGTAATAATGATAAAAAAACAGGGCTTAATAAATTTTTTATCTGCATTCAACAACAAAACAGATATTTTAAATTGTAATAATATATCACATTTTACAGTTTTTACTGTATTTGAGCAAAATCTGTTTGTTTGTTTGTTTTTTGTTTTACATTTAAAAATCTTACTGATACAAACTTTTGAACAATAGTGTGCAGCACATACCTTTTCCTGGTCCAGCAAGCACATTGAATACAATGCAGATAATGTACAACACAACAGAAAAGATGATGAGGGAAAGCCGAGCAACGCTGTGATCTCCCATTCTGAACTGCTGAAATACAGAAAAGAAAATATAAAATTATAAACTCAAAACTGAAGCACATTCACACAAACTAAGATCATCAAGTAACTATTTCAACAACAAAAAAAACATGTTCCTCACATGTGAAAGCAGCTGCAGTCTGAAAGCGAGCACTGAATGCAGAGAAGGAAGGTAACGTGACACTGTGAGGACTGAAAAACACAAATATAACACCCTGTGGGATGGTTTTATAAGCGGGCAGGTTGTGTAACTAATGACTGCACGTGTTGAATATGACATCTAAATACTGTACAGGTGTACAATGGCTGTCAAGGATACCATTTTTGCATTGCATACATTTCCGGTGGTTACAAAAAAGCCTTACACAACTTTTATGACTTTCACTTTACAATCCTTTTTTTTTTTTTTTTTTTTTTTTTGGCCAAACTCAAAACTAACCTTGAGTATATGTGTTTTTTAGATAACATCTTGCAAGGTTTAGTCATTAACCATGTGTTATAATGTCTTTAGGTAAGGAAAATACACATGGATGAACACATGATGATGATGATTATAAAAGTATTATTATGAAAATCAGACTATATCTAATTTTTTGTGTCATAAATGACAATGATTTTATGTAATGGAACATTTAATATTGTTATTATTTAAATCGTGCATCACCAATGTTTAAAATATTAGTATTTTTTTTCAATAAATGTAAAGTTCAAAAGATCAGCATTTATGCAAAGCTGTTGTAACATTTTACTTTCTACTGTCCAAACGTTTGGGAAAAACATTTTTAATAAAAACACATTAAACTCATCATAAGTGACATAAGACATTTATAATCTTTCAGATTATATATATATATTAAATGTATAATAAATAATCAGAAACATGGGATGGCACGGTGGTTCAGTGGTTAGCACTGTCGCCTCACAGAAAGAAGGTCGCAGGTTTGAGTCCCAGCTGGGCCAGTTGGCATTTCTGTGAGTTTGCATGTTCTCCCCGTGTTGATGTGGGTTTCCTCCGGGTGCTCTGGTTTCCCCCACAGTCCAAAGACATGCGCTATAGGTGAATTGAATAAACTAAATTGGCCGCAGTGTTTGTGAAAGAGTGTGTATGGATGTTTCCCAGTACAGGGTTGCAGCTGGAAGGGCATCCCCTCTGTATAGCATATGCTGGATAAGTTGGTGGTTCATTCTGCTGTGGTGACCAATGATGAATAAAGGGAAGAAGCCAAAGGAAAATAAATGAATGAATGAAGGTATGGTTGTTTTCCAGTACTGGATTGCAGCTGGAAGGGCATTATCTGTGTAAAACATTGGCTGGATAAGTTGGCGGTTCAGTCGGCTGTGGTGACCCCTGGTGAATAAAGGGAAATCAATCAGAAATATTTGCTATTGTGAGCAAAGTTCATTTTTTGATAGATGAAGCTACAATTACAATATGTTTATTTGAATGCATACATGCACTTGTAGTAAAGTACGCAGTTAAAAACCACGTTCCTGAAGGACCACCAGCTTTGAGTAAATGCTGATCTTTTAAGCTTTACATTTATTGAAAAAAACATTTATATTTTAAACATTGGTTATATGAATATAAATATATACATTCAAAGTAAGACTTGCGTAATTATTTCATAATAACGTGTTGAAATCATCCACCCAGAATGTGCGTCTGCAAACACGCGGATCAAACCACTTTTCGCGGATTATAAATTTATTAATTAAAAGATGAACACGATAATTAAATGTGAATTGCTATACATTGCAATAAATTAAGTCATTGTTTTATTCTTAGATTTAAGCATTTAACTGTTATTAAATTTGTACGACAGCAGAACTAATTCTTCGTCTGTTGATTTACGACAACAAAAAATGGTTTGTTCCTGTCTCGTGACGATAACCAGGAAGCAAACTTTCCCAACAGCCATTCAATCATTTAATCTAGCTTGTAAGTAAAAAACTGAGAGCGTGTTTTGCTTACAAATTTTATTCAAAATGCCTTTAGTTCGTGGCGGAACTTCCGAAGCTAAAGATGCAAATGAAGAAGTGCAGAAAATATGCGACAAGGTTTGTAAATTTACACTACAGATCAATTAAGCAGTGATGTCATGTATAGACGCAGAGATTCCCCTTATGGTTCGCTTTGCTCTCAGATGAAGGCTGATGCTGAGGAAAAAGCTGGGCGCAAGTTTGACGTTTTCACTGCTAAATCTTTTAAAACGCAGGTTGTTGCGGGGACAAATTACTTTGTTAAGGTAAGAAAAATTAAATGTCTAATTTAATGAACGAATTACACGAACATTAGTTCACCAAAAAATTCTCTTTTTGTCATATATTCAGCCATCACTTGTTCCAATCCTCTTCGAGTTTCTTTCTTACTTTGAACAAGAAAATAAGATAATTTGATGAATGTTGTCATTGACTTCCATAATATTTAGTTTAACTATGAAATTCAATGGCTGCTAGTTTCCTGCATTCTTTTAAAAAAATATTTTTTTTTTGTTTAAAGGTAGAAAGAGACTCTTTAAGGTTTGTAACCCCTTGAAGGAGATTAAATGTTTAAAAGGGTCAATTTCTGGATTATCTTCCTCTTTAATGTAAAACGAATGTAAAGCCTTCAGTCTTTAATAACTGTAATCACTGTAAGTAAATAATCTGTTTTAGGTGCATGTAGGTGATGAAGACTATGTTCATCTGCGTGTCTACAAAACACTGCCTCATGCTGGAGAAACACTGCAGCTGACAAGCATACAGACAGCCAAGGCTCATCATGATGCTATTGAATACTTCTGAAGCAGAACAACAGAAAACATCGCCAGTACTGCCCCAAATACACACAAACCCATTTGTAAACACTACCTAGGTAAACATGTTTCCATTTTGTGTTTGGCAGTGCTGTAATTAAGCTGTCACCAACATTTATCTTTACTTATACTGAACAAATCACTTGACTGAAATCTTAGTTTGTAGTAGAAAAACGATTCAACATCAACTAAAATTTTAATGAAAACCGAAATCAAACTCATGAAACCATAATAAATACACCCTGACACTAAGATGACACTGCTATCTGAATCAACATATTCACAAACAGCACATATACTGTATCAGTAATGCATGTAAAAGCTTACAGTATTATTCTTTCCCTCTAATGCATATATTAGAGCAATTTATTATGTTTAAAATGACAAAGACTTACTCTCTGTCCCACAGAAGGAGCCAGCCAATTTTCAACAGCATGTTTATAATCCAGACGATGAAGAATGCATACAACAACACAGCAGGACTGCAGTACATTGGGCCATTAACACTCCTGAGAAAAACAAAAAAACATACTGTAAATCAACTTCAGAGTCATATTCTTATAAATGACATCTCGTTTTTGTGTTAAAGCTTTACCTCCTGCATGTAGTGAAGAGAATGTAAGCACTCATGAGCGACAGCCAGATGTAAATGACACCCCAAACTATGCGACTGTATTTCAGTACTGCTCATTTTGGAGGTACTTGGAGAGACAATTTTTTCTGAGGTGGTACTTGATGGATAAGTTTGAGAACCACTGATCTAGAGCATTGTTTCTTAACCACGTTCCTGAAGGACCACCAGCTCTGCACATTTTCATGTCTGTAACCAAACACACCTAATTACAGCAACTTTTTAACTAATCACACCCAACACTGATCTGGAATAACTATGGTGAAAATGGCAGGAGGTAATAAAATTATAATATGCATATAACAACAAAACAGCTATTAAATATATCACAATTTTACAGTTTTGATTGCATTGGGGCAAAAGTTGTTTTCTTAATAACATTTAAAAATCTTACTGATCCAAAACTTTTGAACAATAGTGTGCAGCACATACCTTTTCCTGGAACAGCAAGCACATTGAAAACAATACAGTTGATGAGGGAAAGCCGGGAAATGCTGTGATCTCCCATTCTGAACTGCTGAAATACAGAGAAGGAAATCTAAAATTATAAACTCAAAACTGAAGCACATTCACACATACTAAGACTAGTCTAAGTCTAGTGACTATTTCAACAAAAAAGAAATAGTATTTTACTGACATGTGAAAGTAGCTGCAGAGTCTGAAAGCGAGCACTGAATGCAAAGAGGAATGGTAATGTAACTGAGAACTGAAAAAACAAATATTACACCCTGATAGTATTTTTTATTTATTTTTATTGGTAATTTAAAAAAAAAAGAATATAAAGTTCAAAAGATCAGCATTTATCTGAAAGCTTTTGTAAAAATTTACTTTCTATTGTTCAAAGGTTTAGAAGAATCTTTTTTTATTATTGCCAAAATACACTAAACTCATCAAAATTGAAAGGCATTTATAATCTTTCAGATTATATTTATTTGTATATTAAATGTATAAATTCAGATGAATGTTTTATTACTATACCTCAAATAATCCTAAAAAGAAATCAACATCATTTTATATATAATGTAATGTCTTAAATGCTTCAGCATATTGGAAAGATTTCTGATCTACAATAAGTTGGAACATTTGTTATTTTGACCAACTGTCATTTTCTGAAATAAAATGCTAAATTACAATATATTTATTCAAAATTTGAGGAAAAAATCTTAGCAGACCAAAAAAAAAAAAAAAAAAATTAGCCAAACATTTTACTCGTAACTATAAATAATGCACCTGTATGTGCAGTATTAAGAAAAACCTGCAAAAATAACTTAAATAGAACTACATATAAACTTAATGCCTGTTGGATAATTCTACTGTGTTAAATATTTAACTTTGAGTAATAATTATTTTCCAATAATATGTTGATTTTTTTTTGTATTTATTTTTTATTATGCTTTAAACAACACATACATGACAATATAGTAAACAAAATATTGGCAGGGTGATAGAAGGTAAATAATATTAACAGCACAAAAAAAACACAAAACAAGAGTATAAATATTAACTAAAATTCTTGCAATTCTAACAAGCAGGACCTTTGCATTAATCAAAATTTTTGAAACTAGAACACAGATGGACAATTTTAATGACCTTTATATTAGCACTATGCTAAGTAGTACAAAAGTTATTTTTCAGTTCCTTATAAAACAAAGAAAAACTGTATTTTGTTGGAAAATTTACACTTATGAATATGAAACTTGATCAACAAAATAAATGGGCTATAACAAAATGTTCGTCATTCAAATTATAATAAAAATGTTTAAAAAAAAATACGTTTTCAAAATGCAAATTGCAATTAAAGAGTACCTTTATTGTGCTAAAGACAGAATCATCATACCAAAGCTTTTTAACATAACCACAGTTCCAAATGATGTGGAGAACAGTTTCCAAAAGCAAAGAACAAAAGTTGCAATTTATATCAATATCCTTTGTAAATTTACTGAGGAAATGTTTAACCGGGTAGTATTTATGAATTAGTTTAAAAGATTTTTTTCTATCTTGAGTGTAAGTTAACCAAAAAATTGTGATGTGATGACCAAATGCTTTCCCATGATGAATTCATCCACGCCCTTTACAAATACGTGGGTCAAACCACTTTTTAAGGATAATACAACATAAATTGAGAAACACTGCGATAAATAAGGTCAGTTTTTATCCCTAACAGTTACGCTTTTATCAAAACTAGACATACACTAAAGCACGCCAGCAGAACTGCATCATTTGTCTTTAGTTAATTCACAACAAACAAAAAAACCCCTTTGGTCCAGAAAAATGGTTTGTTCCTGTCTCGTGATAACCAGGAAGCAAACTTTCCAGAGACAGTCATTTTTATTCAGTAAAGCTTGTAAATTAAAACTGCGAACGCGTGTTAAAACGCCTACAAGCTTTATTCAAAATGCCTTTAGTTTGTGGCGGAACTTCCGAAGCTAAAGATGCAAATGAAGAAGTGCAGAAAATATGCGACCAGGTTTGTAAATTTACACTACAGATCAATTAAACTGTGATGTCATGTATATACACAGAGATTCCACAAATGGTTCGCTTTGCTCTCAGATGAAGGCTGATGCTGAGGAAAAAGCGGGGCGCAAGTTTGACGTTTTTACTGCTAAATCTTTTAAAACGCAGCTTGTCGCGGGGACAAATTACTTCGTTAAGGTAAGAGAAATTAAACGTCTCATTTAATGACCTAACTCAAGCATAGTTTACCAAATAATTCACCTTTGGTAGTTTATTCAGCCTTGTTCCAATCCTTAGTTTTTTTCTTCCTTTGAACAATGATAAGATAATTTGAAGAATGTTGTCAACTTCCATAATATCTAGTTTGATTTTCAATAGCTGCTGGTTTCCAACCTTCGTCAAAATATCTTTTTTTTAAACCACTTGGAGAGTAAATGACAAAAAGTCTTCATTTCTGGATTATCTTCCTCTTTAATGTAAAACGAATGTAAAGCCTTCAGTCTTTAATAACTGTATTCACTGTAAGTAAATAATCTGTTTTAGGTGCATGTAGGTGATGAAGACTATGTTCATCTGCGTGTCTACAAAACACTGCCTCATGCTGGAGAAACACTGCAGCTGACAAGCATACAGACAGCCAAGGCTCATCATGATGCTATTGAATACTTCTGAAGCAGAACAACAGAAAACATCGCCAGTACTGCCCCAAATACACACAAAACCCATTTGTAAACACTACCTGGGTAAACATGTTTCCATTTTGTGTTTGGCAGTGCTGTAAATAAGCTATCAACAGTAACCTTCACTCATTCTGAACAAATCACTTGACTGAAATCTTAGTTTGGTCTACAACTTTTTTGTACTTAACTGCCTACAATGTACAGTATTTCCATAAAATACATGATTGGACAGTTGTGATTGTGGTTTTGAAGATTTATTCAATGTAACTGTCATTAAAGTACTGGATTACATATGGTAGTTTTTTTTTTCTTTTTACCTTTATATGAAGGGTTTTTAGGAGTCTAGAGTCTGTGCAGGCTCACAGAGTGCTAGAGCAAAAAACGTCTTTTTAAAAAGTTGGATTCAATTTTTAAATACATTTAACAGTACCGTTTTTTCTATGTCTTTGAATTTAAATAAATAAAAAAACATGTAGATATAAATTAATTAGTAAAATACAAATAAATAAAATGTTAAATAAAAATACAAAACATTTTACAGGACAGTACTGAGAAGCAACCTAAAAAATACAACATATAAAATAATATTAGTATATTTAAATAATTTAAAACATTTGTAATATTTTTTCACTATATAAATTGGGTCTTTATACAAGTAGTAACATGATTCTCTGCAACCTCCCTAGGGAGGACTTGAAAGTGTTTAAACCGAAATTGAGAATAAGTCAAGATGCAACCTGGTCAAATGTCTTTAAAGTGTCCCTAAATCACTATTGATTTTGTTTTGACCATACATTAATGGATAAAAAAACAAAAATCACCAAAAATATTATAGAAAATGCCTCTAAATCAAGCTTTGTCAATCAAAGCAGAAGTACCAGAAATATCTTGGCATACATGGTGAGCGGACGCCTCATTGTCAAAACAATGAGATGAATTGAAAAGCAATGATTTTTATGCCTTTTAAAATGTACAGTAGTGTGTCCTCACACAAATACTTTGGTTTTTAGATTGTGGTGTTAAACCCTCTGCTTTATCCTCAATATCTAAAAAAACAGATAAATAATGCCTCCTCTCCAATGAACTGTGTTGTGAAGTAAATAACTGACAACACTTCAGCAATTGGAAAAGATTTCATTGTTTATAAAATCTGTTTTGTACAATATTTATATGAAAAGGTTCACAGGACAGCAGTAGTGTCTCTTCACTGTAGAAACACAGAGCATATACTGGAGGAGAAGGGATCGTGGAAAAACTGATGGACACATCCAGGCTCAGCTCCAGGTTTCTTCCTTATTTGACTGTGTGGTTTAGGTCGACAACACAACTACCATTCACTTAATCTTGGGAGGGGTGTAGTGGATTCTGCACCTTTCATTGAACACCTGGGATAAAAACATTCATGGCAAATGGTTTTAATTAACAACTCAATATATTTATTAGGAGAGGGTCTTTATAACTCACCTTCAGACTCCTGTCATTGACTACTTCTTCAACATTCAGCTCAGACTGCATGAGTTTTAACTGTATGGAAATTGAGAGAAATAAAATCAAGTATGATTCCAGGCTTTTTTAAAATATGCCCTGATCAATGTTTTTTTTGCCCTCAATAAACAGCATGTAAAAACCTTAAGGTTGTGATGAAATATTAATTGACATTAATATTGATTTAACAATCTTAAGTTCATTTTAAAAATGATTTTTGTTATCTTTAATTAAAATTAACTCATTTCAAACTAAATGTAGTACTTGGTACATGGCAAGCACAAATTACAATGGTTTTGCCACCCTAACCATTAAGCCATGGTACTTGTAGTAAAACTTATGCAAAAAGTAATACATAAGCAAAATAAATATTATATTAATAAAACTCCCTTTTATTTATAAAAAATAATAATTTCCGTAAATTACATCATGTCTGCATTTATTTAGAGACACGGAAATCTAGTAGATGGCCTTATACTAATACATATATAAAGTTACATCTCTCTCTCTATATATATATATATATATCTATATCTATCTATCTATCTATCTATCTATCTATCTATCTATATATATATATATATATATATATACACACACACACACACACACACACATATATACATACACACACACGCAGTGCTTCCCACAGGTTTAAATATGCTTACGGTGGTAGCTGACTTAAAAAACACATACAGTAATGTTAACATGGCAATGGTTAACCATATGCAACAAACAAAACAATTAGATTTTTAACAATTTTTTTTATTATTGGTTTTAAACTTTTTTTTTTCAATGCATTAAAAAGATTAAAAAGAAAACAGTTGAAAAAAACTAAAAAAAATAAATAAATAAACCAATATTTCTCTTTTATGCTATTCAGGAGCCATGAGTACCCCTGACAGGTAAAATCTGCTTCTCTCTCGTGCACATTAAAAAATTAATGACAGCTTAGAAAACTAAAGCAAAACCAAATCCCGGACATTTTAATAGATTTAAAAACCACGACCGGATGCAAAAAGGTGCGAGTCTCTGTGGAATTGCAGGCACAGAAGACTGTGGTGGGAGTGTTTACAATTCTTGCCCACACATAACAAGCCGTATGAAACGGGTAAAGGAGAGAAGATTTTCCACTATTTAATTGCTCGCAGATGTTTGTTTATATTGGGCAGATACAAAAAAAAGTGTAAAAGGATGATAATAATAGTAAAAAAAAAAAAAAGCCACTAAATATACCTGGGTGGCCTGCCCAAGTAAAGTCTATATGTGGCAAGCACTATATACATCTATAATCTGTATATATTTTCATATATCACATTTCTATATGGATATTTAGTTTAAGTTGACAACCATTTATTTTTAAGACATTGGTTTGCATATTCAAATTATTAGTAGCACATGACCCCCTTGATGGCATTACCTTAGTTTGTTCTTTCCTGAGTTGCTTGATAACTGACAAGTTGTCACTATCTTTGGCTCTCTCTTCACGTAACTGACTGACGACTGCAGAAGTTTCTTTAATACATGACTTTATTGCCTTATCCCGGGATAGATGAGCCTCCATAAGCTGAAAAACATACAAAAGGCTTGTAATTAAAACATGAAGGTCTATGGCATCATACTTTTGTCAGTGGAACATGAAAAGAATCAGTGTTAATGTGTTAAAAACTGCTACTTTGAGTGTTCAAAGAAAAACAAAAATACAGGCAACACAAAATTAATACCCACAGCTCCTGATGATGTCTTTACCAATTTACATTATTTATTTATTATTAACATTATTACAGTTAATCCACAGCCAAGTAGTCTTGAGCTTTTTAGGACATTTTGCATCATAAGACCTCAATGTATTGACAGGAGCAATTATTGTCTGATATTATTTTATTGACAGACAAAATGCAGGTAGCATTGCTTATATGAAAAACCAAAGACCACAGTTTCAGCTAAAAACCTTCTTTAAAATGTTTTACTGAAAAAAAAGTCAACTACATCTTGAATAGCCTGAGGGTAAGTAAATTAACAGAAAATGTTCATTTTAGGATGAGCTATTCCATTAAGAGTATTGTGATACATACAGATTCATAAAGCTCTTTGCAGGTCTGTGTGGCGTCCACTTTGCCTGAGAAAGATGCAGTGGGCACCGTAGTGTTCAAGGAATGAACGATTCTGTCATCTATGGTGCGCATCACTTTTAATACTTCCTACAGAACAAAAGGAAAGATAGAAAAACATGTTAAATTGCAGCAAATGATCGATAAAAACAGAACTTTCTTCTAAACTTCTTCTAAGTGATACAATCATATATGGTTAGTTTGAGACAGCTTACCATTGAGCTGAGTCAAAAGACTCAAGTAAGAAGTTAAAATCTGATAATAATGACATGAACCAGAATATAATAAACATTTCTGTTTGACTGTAATCATGATTATATCTACATTTTGTAATGTAATAAAGTAGCCAGTAATGACATTAGGGATGCAATGCTTAACTGATTTAACTATTAACCACGCTATAATTCATCACGATTAATTAATCGTAAAGGTTTTTCAACACTGTGTTTCTGTACGGAACAAAACAGCTGCAACTAAAAGTTATTATAACTGTGCGCTAGTTTAAAGTTCCAAGCTCTGTACACTGAGGCTAATACTCAAACACACTGGAATAACTATGGCTGAGGCTGTTTACTAAGGGCCGTTCACATGTTGCCTGCGCAAGTTTGTTATTTCTTTTCTTGCACGCTTTCCAGATGCACATAGTAGAAAGAATGTAACTTTTATTTATTTATTCATTCATTCATTTATTCATTCATTCATTGTTCTGTCATTTATTTTCAGTGTAAATTGATTTACTATGTTTAAATGCAAAAAAAACAAAAAAACTTTTTTTATTTATTTTTAAGTCCAAAGAGAAATGGACTATTGTTTGTTTTTATTAGTATTTTGTGCTGTATTATTTAGTTACCGAGCAAGAATAAATTACACTTTATTAAACAAGTAGTTTTCATGTGATTTTATAAACTAGTAGTGTTTTGATGTTAAATTAATAAATGCATATTAATCGTGATAGCTGCAATTATTCCTCAGACTATAATCATACAACCAAAATCTATAAGTGGTGCATTACTAAATTCCCTAAATCTTGTAAAAGAAAAGTAACCAGGAATTTAACAAGACAATACTCTCTCTCTCTCTCTCTCTCTCTCTCTCTCTCTCTATATATATATATATATATATATATATATATATATATATATATATGTGTGTGTGTGTGTTAAAAATGTAATATTGTATATTAATTTCACAAAAATAAAACTATTACAAAAAACACAACTGACTTCTAAAAAAAAAGAACAATACCAGAGGGTCATATTTAATCCGATTAAAATAAATTAAAGTAAATAATAATTAGAAACACATAGAAAATTCGCCATCCCTTGAACGTCCAAATAGTGTTACTGAAGAAAAAAAATCATGAAAATTAATCTACCCACATGTTGCACAACAATATGTACTTATTGGCTATAGATTTATCTATCCTTTAAATTCAGAATTTTGCATAGTATATAAATACTATATAAATGAAATGTATTTTTAGTAAAAATTTTGTAAAATTTCACTTTATTATTATTTTAAGAACGAATAACTGATGAGCCTCCAGTCACTCATGTTTGCTCAATGAAGCTCACGGTTAAATGCGACAGACCACCGAGGGTCAGACATTCATACAACATTCTCATTGACATCACAACAAACGTGGTCACAAAAATAAGTGAGCGCTTAAAAATGCCGCACAATTTTATCTCGACA